AAGCCCAGAACAAAAAGATTGAGATAATAAATTTAAGACTCTGATTTTGCATCGCAAACTACCTCTTTTTAAATAAGTCTTTACATGACCCAAAATAAGCTATTAAGCCAATATTAAATAAGGCGAAACCATCAAGGCCAAAAAAATCTTTTCAGCAACAAAAAACAAAGAAAAATAAAAACAAAATCAAAAGCCATGACCAACAAAACTTAAGCAGACACGTCCCACAATTCAATATTCACCAAAAATACTATAAATTCACCAAAAAACCATAAATACTAAAAATAATCATAATATCCGGCTGGGACACAAACTCCACACCTTTGTGGATAACATATAAACTAAATTCCTTTGGGCACAACAAAGCGAAAAGTTAAACAAAAAAATATACGAAACCAAATATGTAAAAGTAGAAATTAAAATCAAGTGAAATGTCTATAAATTATTATCCAAATCCTTTAGGACGAATGAACAAAAAACAAAGGAAAAATACGATCAAAAACGAAGCTATACTGAAAAAGTAGATGGTTGTTTTACTGCTACCAAAATCACAGAAGACAAGCGGAACTTCGCACTAAAATTTAACCGACGTAGTCACAGTTTACGAGAAAAATTTTTCTAATCAAAGGAGCAGATCACTTGTTTCAACTTCCTTCAAATGCATAGATTAAAAAGTGCGCGTGCATTATGTTACTTGATTTCGGATTTTTTTTACATTTGTGCGAGGGTTACTGCTCTCAAAGTATTCAAAGTATTTTCAGGACAAATGTTGTCAATCATGTTGTCAATCATGACAAAAAAATTGACAAAAATGAAGGGCCTTCTGACTAGACACACGCTTTCATAAATTTTAAATCAGGCATAATTGACAACATTTGTCCTAAAAATGAACAAGAAAAAAGTAACAGAAAAATTGAACAAAAAAATTTTTCAAATTTTTATACTGGTTTATTGTAAAAATTATAAATGTTTTGCTGCTCTTCTTTAATTTTGTTGGTTGTTCAATTTTAGGACAAATGTTGTGAATCATTTCAGCTTTCAAATACTTGAAGGGAAACCAAAATTTAACCATTTTTGACAAATTTCCGATTAAAAGCTAATTTTTTTGCAATTGAATATTTATCAAAATTTAACAGAACAACAAAATTTTACAGAACAGCAAAATCAAACAAAAATATTTGTTTTTACAAAAATTTCATACAAAAAACCAGTATAAAATTGAGAAAAAAATTTTGTTGTTTTATTTTTCTGTTCTGTTCATTTTTTTTTGTTGTTCATTTTTAGGAAAAATGTTGGCAATCATGCCTGACTTAGCAATTTATAAAAGCGTGTGTCTAGTCAGAAGTCCCTTCATTGCATTATTCAGTCAAAATCTTAGCAATATTCTAGATACGGAAGAGTAAAGTATAGTTCTGATAGAGCTAAACAGAGACAGATGGTTGGGGATCAAGCCGACCAGATTGAGAAAACTAACTGTCTTTTTGGACGAAAATTATTCATAGATTGGTTTCATAAATTTAGGCTCAGGAAAACTCCAAGGAGCTGAAACAAAGATGTATATTCAGTTTAAGCGGAATAATCATCAGCTTTCAATTATTTGAGGGCAAGCAAAACTTGACCATTTTTGACAAACTTCCGTTTGAAAGCTAACTTTTTTTGCAATTGAATACTTATCAATTATTTTCGAATACTTCCCTTTTAAATAAGTTTATCACAATTTTTGGGCTAAAATAAGTATCCTCTCTCATATTATCCGATCTTACCGTATCGGATACTTTGAGACATATTATGCACGCATTGGGTGTTGATTAGCCGTATTGGCTTTTAAAAAAACTTTAGGCAAAAAATCCAAATAATTTTTTTAAAAAAAACTTGTTTCAAATACATAGATTAAAAAATACCATCAAAAACTGAAAAAATAGATAGTTATTTCACTGCTACCAAAATCACAGAAGACAAGCGGAACTTCGCACTAAAATTTAACCGACGTAGTCACAGTTTACGAGAAAACATTTTCTAATCAAAGGAGCAGATCACTTGTTTCAACTTCCTTCATATGCATAGATTAAAAAGTGCGCGTGCATTATGTTACTTGATTTCGAATTTTTTTTACATTTGTGCGAGGGTTACTGCTCTCAAAGTATTCAAAGTATTTTCAGGACAAATGTTGTCAATCATGTTGTCAATCATGACAAAAAAATTGACAAAAATGAAGGGCCTTCAGACTAGACACACGCTTTCATAAATTTTAAATCAGGCATAATTGACAACATTTGTCCTAAAAATGAACAAGAAAAAAAGTAACAGAAAAATTGAACCAAAAAATTTTTCAAATTTTTATACTGGTTTATTGTATAAAATTACAAAAATTATAAATGTTTTGCTGCTCTTCTTTAATTTTGTTGGTTGTTCAATTTTAGGACAAATGTTGTGAATCATTTCAGCTTTCAAATACTTGAAGGGAAACTAAAATTTAACCATTTTTGACAAATTTCCGATTAAAAGCTAATTTTTTTGCAATTGAATACTTATCAAATTTTAACAGAACAACAAAATTTTACAGAACAGCAAAATCAAACAAAAATATTTGTTTTTACAAAAATTTCATACAAAAAACCAGTATAAAATTGAGAAAAAAATTTTGTTGTTTTATTTTTCTGTTCTGTTCATTTTTTTTTGTTGTTCATTTTTAGGAAAAATGTTAGCAATCATGCCTGACTTAGCAATTTATAAAAGCGTGTGTCTAGTCAGAAGTCCCTTCATTGCATTATTCAGTCAAAATCTTAGCAATATTCTAGATACGGAAGAGTAAAGTATAGTTCTGATAGAGCTAAACAGAGACAGATGGTTGGGGATCAAGCCGACCAGATTGAGAAAACTAACTGTCTTTTTCGACGAAAATTATTCATAGATTGGTTTCATAAATTTAGGCTCAGGAAAACTCCAAGGAGCTGAAACAAAGATGTATATTCAGTTTAAGCGGAATAATCATCAGCTTTCAATTATTTGAGGGCAAGCAAAACTTGACCATTTTTGACAAACTTCCGTTTGAAAGCTAACTTTTTTAGCAATTGAATACTTATCAATTATTTTCGAATACTTCCCTTTTAAATAAGTTTATCACAATTTTTGGGCTAAAATAAGTATCCTCTCTCATGTTATCCGATCTTACCGTATCGGATACTTTGAGACATATTATGCACGCATTGGGTGTTGATTAGCCGTATTGGCTTTTAAAAAAACTTTAGGCAAAAAATCCAAATAATTTTTTAAAAAAAAACTTGTTTCAAATACATAGATTAAAAAATACGATCAAAAACTGAAAAAATAGATAGTTATTTCACTGCTACCAAAATCACAGAAGACAAGCGGAACTTCGCACTAAAATTTAACCGACGTAGTCACAGTTTACGAGAAAAAATTTTCTAATCAAAGGAGCAGATCACTTGTTTCAACTTGTTTCAAATGCATAGATTAAAAAGAGCGCGTGCATTATGTTGTTTGATTTCGGAATTTATTTCAATTGTGCGCGGGCTACTGCCCTCAATGTAATCTAGATAGAAGTATTCGAGCTTTGAAAAAGTTTGTAACATGAAACAATTTGCTTCTCCTAAAATTTCTGCATGCAGATGAACGTAAATTTCAAAACAAGTTAGTGACTTTATTAATGGCTGAAATGCAGAAGTGCAGATGGTTATTTTGTAATCTACTGTAAATACACGATAAACATTCAAGCCGGCAGTTTGTTGGGATAAGGCAGCGACGTAGCTCTCAAATTGGTCAAATCATTCGAAAAGCTTTCAAGTTCGAGCTGTAATTTTGATATTTTGTCCAAGACATTTTTTGAAAAAAAAAACATTTACATCAAACGTCGATTCTCAGCCTTTTGTCCAAGTTCATGTGTACATGTGTAGTATTTTTTCTCGTCATCTCAGTATCTGGCATGCTGAGTAATGCCTGCCATCATTTTCAAACATATTTTGGCCGACCGAATTAAAAACGAAGCTTGTTTCAGTTGATTCACGGATTTCCACAGTTTGAACTACCACCAGGCCTTGTCAAAAGTTTATACCTAACGGAGACTCGTGAGTTGTCGGAACGGCCAAAACTTACAAATAGAACTAAAATAATGAAAATTTAGTGTTTGGATTGTTAGATAATTTTCACATCAAGTTACTGAAAAAAGAAGCAACACTTTTGAGCCAATTTAAAACTATTTTTGATTAAAAACTCGGTTATGCAAAAAATTTGAATTTAACCGAACGTGGTGTAAAAAATCATTAATTAATAATTTTAAGATTTTTTGACTAAAGTTTAATAATCAGGTTTCAGAATGAAATCGAAGTTTTGGACTCACGGCAATTTCAACAAGATAAAAACCAAAAAATCCAAATAATTTTTTTAAAAAACTTGTTTCAAATAAATAGGTTAAAAAATCTGATCAAAAACTGAAAAAATAGATGGTTATTTCACTGCTACCAAAATCACAGAAGTCAAGTGGAATTTCGCACTAAAAATTAAACGACGCAGTCACAATTTACGGGAAAAATTTTACAAATAAAAGGAGCAGATCACTTGTTTCAACTTGTTTCAAATGCATAGATTAAAAAGAGCGCGTGCATTATGTTGTTTGATTTCGGATTTTTTTTACAATTGTGCGCTTGCTACTGCCCTCAATGTAATCTAGATAGAAGTATTTGAGCTTTGAAAAAGTTTGTAACATGAAACAATTTGCTTCTCCTAAAATTTGTGCATGCAGATGAACGTAAATTTCAAAAAAGGTTAGTGACTTTATTAATTGCAGAAATGCAGAAGTGCAGATGGTTATTTTGTAATCAACTGTAAATTAACGATAATTATTCAAGCCGGCAGTTTGTTGGGATAAGACAGCGACGTAGCTCTCAAATTTGTCAAGTCATTCGAAAAGCTTTCAAGTTCGAGCTGTAATTTTGATCTTTTGTCCAAGACATTTTTTGAAAAAAAAAACATTTACATCAAACGTCGATTCTCAGCCTTTTGTCTAAGTTCATGTGTACATGTGTAGTATTTTTTCTCGTCATCTCAGTATCTGGCATGCTGAGTATTGCCTGCCATCAATTTCAAACATATTTTGGCCGACCGAATTAAAAACGAAGCTTGTTTCAGTTGATTCACGGATTTCCACAGTTTGAACTACCACCAGGCCTTGTCAAAAGTTTATACCTAACGGAGACTCGTGAGTTGTCGGAATGGCCAAAACTTACCTAATAGAACTAAAATATTGAAAGTTTAGTGTTTGGATTGTTAGATAATTTTCACATCAAGTTACTGAAAAAAGAAGCAACACTTTTGAGCCAATTTATAACTTTTGCCAAATTTTTGATTAAAAACTCGGTTATGCAAAAAATTTGAATTTAACCGAGCGTGGTGTAAAAAATCATTAATTAATAATTTTAAGACTTTCTGACTAAAGTTTAATAATCAGGTTTCAGAATGAAATCGAAGTTTTGGACT